AAGGTGCTGGGATTAAAGGCCATGTGCCACCATGCCTGGCTCTTTCTTTCTTTCTTTCTTTATTTGTTACTGGGGATCGTACTCGGGACCTTGTGCTTTCGAGGCAGGTGATAGAACCACAGAGCTAAACCCCCAGCCTCTCTATATTTATTTTTTAAGAAACTGCCATACTGTTTTTATTTTACATTTTCACTAACTTTGCATGAGAGTTCTAATTTCTCCATATCCTTACTCTTTTTTTATAGTAGCCATCCTAATTAATGTGATATGGTATTTCATTGTGATTTTCATTTATATTTCCCTAGTGATTAGTGATGCTGTATCTTTGCATTTCACCTATTGCTTTTTTATATAATTTCTTTGGAATACTCTCTATTCAGATCAATTGGGTTTTTGTAGACTTTTATGGGTTCTTTATATAATTACATTATATTCTCTTATCAGGTTTTGTAAATATTTCCTCCATTTTGTAGGGTTTTTTTTTTTCTTTTTTTGGTTTTTTGAGACAGGGTCTCGCTATACAATTCAAGTTGACCTTGAACTCACTATGTAGCCAAGGCTGGCCTCAAACTCACTGTGATCATCCTGCCTCGGCCTCCTGAGTGCTAGGATTACAGGCGTGCACCACTATGCCTGGCTAAAAAGAGCCTTCTTAGGACCAGGAGGGAAGGCACAACAAAAATATGGATCCAAAAGTTCATAGCTTTACTAAAAATGTGTATTTGGTTTTAACTGCAGAAGAATCATTCCTCATGTAGGGGCATTGCTCCTTCTGGATTGTATCTATTTAGTTTATCCACTCCTGTTAAATGAAGAAACATCATTTTAGGGTAATGATACTTAACATATATTACTTAAATAGAAAATGATTTCTGCTGGTTTATATGGAAATTACAAACTGATAATTTTTTACTAGAAATTGGGTTTGATGATTTTACGACAGGAGAAGTAAAATATTTGGCTTATATATAGAGAAGTGTAGGGGCCAGGGATTTGGTTCAGTAATTCTGCTGCCTGCCTCGCAAGAGCAAGGGCCCAAATTTGATCCCTGGTACCAAAAAAAAAAAAAAAAAGTGCAAATACACAGAGGTAGTATAGGGATGACTCTTAATAATTGATTGAACTCAGGCTGGAGATTTAGCTCAGTGGTTTCACACTTACCTCACAAGCACAAGGCTCTGAGTTCAATCCCTGGTACCAAGGGAAAAAAAAAATCAAAATAATTGATTGAACTCAGTGCTTTGCAGGTGCTAAGCAAGTGCTCTACCACTGAGCTTCACTCCTAGTTGTATCTTTGAGATAGAGTCTTGCTAAATGACCCCAGCTGGTCTTGAAATTGTGCTCATTCAGCCTTGGCCTGCTGAAAGCTGGGGTCATAGTTGTGTTCTATCACACCTGGCTGCCATTTTGCTTTTTGTAGTAGACAGTGCATCTTTCTACCTAATTTTCTGTGTATCTACAGTTTAAGAATTAATGTGGCAAGGGTTAGAGTTCAGTGTCTTGGACCTGGTGAGGTCCACTGAAGCAGAGAGGAATTGTGTGTGAATAAAATTTTCTACTCTGGCTATATTCTTGCTGTTTCCTATTTTTAAAATGTAAAAAAAATTAAAAATATGCATCTGTACACATCTTCATTACTACCAAGAACTTAGTGGTAGTCATATATGAAACTGCTCAGTTATCTTTTGTGATATTCAGTAACTTTTATGCAGTGAAATTTTGGAAATGGTGTTTTGTAATAAGCATTAGTAGATAGAGGAGTTGCTGGCCTTTGTGATGGAACAAAAGGAAATAAAATAAGCACATAAGTACTTAAGCTTATTCAAGCCATTGTGG